GCAACAGTTGTGGGATACAGGTACTACCGGCCGACATATGTACAAACTTAGACCATCACTAAAATCTGGTCATAAAATTCGTCGTCGTAAAGGCGTGATGAGGTTATTCTTTCACGTCTAAGACTTGGACACTGTGGGCTAAATGCCTACAGGAGTATTATAGATAAGACGGTCTCTTCTAAATGTGGCCATTGCAATTTGGAGACGCCTGAAAACATCGAACATTATCTAATTACATGCCCTGGGCATAACAACATAAGACAAAATCTCAGAACTGCTGTACTTGAGGTTGATGATGTATTCTCATTAGAAACAGTTTTGGGCCCCAATATCATGTATGGGTCTGTGCAACGGGCAGTTTTAGATTTTGTCTCGTCATCTGGAAAATATGATGTAATCTAGACAGGCTCTCGAATGGCTTAGACAGATTTAGTTCTGTGGTTTTAAATCATTTTAACACTCTGTCATCTGAACCTACTGCTTTTTTATTGAATGAGTATTTCATGTTTCAGAAATGGAAGTTATTACTTAAGGTTTTTAATCCGTAACACGAAGCAGAGGTTATTCCATATATGTATACATCTATCCAAATTAATAGTGTTGTCGTTTCTTTTATCTTAGCTAAACGATTCCTTTTGGCAATGAAATTACGTATGATTGTTTATTAAATCAAGTCAATGTGTTGGGCGCAAAAAGGCCTCTTATTGGCCCACGTCGCCCTAAAACTATAAAACCAACCATTATATCATTAAACCCCTTATCCGAACCATAAACGCCTTCATACATCAGTCGCTTTAACGATGATTTACAAGCTCTCATACAATCGTTTTACTATTTAGAGCGAAGTAAAAAGCAAGCTGACTGTAAAGACTGTACCTTGTCTTACATACGAAATCCATATACAGTTGCAGTTTCTCTTCCGCGATTGTGAAATATAATCCATTTGCGTGGAGAAACTTCCTCTGCTCATGCAAGCCAAGTGTGTTCTATGATACAAAGGAAGCAAATCTTCCAACCAAATACTAATCAACCGCCACCCCACCCCTTCTTTCTTCTGTCAGTTACCAACATGGATCTGTTTGCAGGACAATTATAGCAGAATATTACAGAAACAGTATTTCAATATGCAATGTCATTTAGAAAGTAAGGATTAGGTATATATTATACTTTCTATAAAAGGTGTACGGAAATGTATCGAATCAATAAAGCTGACCTGGAACATAAAGCGTACTGTTTCGCGGTATGGTGTAAGTGAAGCAAGTCTTACCGTCTTATTATGCCACCCAACCTCCTCTCAACACCATGAACGCCTTCAAATGCCAGTCTCTTTACTGATCTCGATTATTTCCCTGTTCTCAAATGGACGGGTTACTGCTTAATGAATATTTAAACAAGAAACAAGCTCACTCATCCGCCTTTACGAAATTTAATGGATTTGTATTACTTAGAAGAACTTCCTCTTCACACTGTGAAAGATGCAAGGGAAGTATCTCTTCCATGCAAATGCTACCCAACCCGGGCACCACCCCACCCCTTCCTTCTTATGTCAATAACTAACATAAATCTGTTTACAGGACAGCTAGCAGAAAATAACAGAAGCGAATAATCAATACGCAATACCATTTAGAGAGTGGTCAAATGTAACATATGTTGTATTTGGGATTACACTTACTCAGTAAAGAACAGGTTCTAGTATTTTGTGGATACCCCACGGGTTGAGTCCCGTCCGAGATTCCAAGCCACACTCTCAGAGTCGCCAGCTCTCAAAGTCATCGACCTTACCCACTCAGCCACCGCGGCTTCCACAACAAATGAAAGTTGGCCACTAGGTATTCTAGATGAAGACAGCTTTTGAGTGATTTCTTGTGTGCCAACCTTGCTAATACCATAGCTCCAACCGTTTCGCAACTAGGAACGCCGTGACAGGGGGTTCACACATTGTAAACATTTGGAATCGAACTCCGTTTTTCAACATGACGGGCGAACACTTAACCACAAGGCCACCCCTACCTCAAGGGGTTGAGTGTTTTGATTGTGACATAGTATATTGTCATTCAACAAAATATGTGTTAACCTCAGGACAATACATTCTTTTCTGTCTGTGGGATTCAGGGAAAACACAGTCTTTCAACATCTCTTGCTTGTTGCTGTTGTGAGGATCGGATTTTGTGACTCGGATTGTATCCCAAAGAAATGTTTTTCATGCTATCAATCATTGGTTCAATCTTGATTATTTACAGACCGCCCTGCTATACGTGGAGTGCCCATGCGTTCTGCGCAATAGACAAAAAATACCATATTCATGTTCCTGCTTTTCACTCAACGTTTAAATTTACACTGCAACCTACAACTGAAGGTGGTGGAAATATGGTAACACATGCTTATGCTTTTATGTGTTCATGTGAATATTTCTTAATTCATGTAAGTATCTAACACTGGACATAGATATTATTCTAATCCAGAGTTTTATTATAAGACAATGCCCATATTATTCTCAGTAGTCTCATGCTACATATGTCACCTATCAGGGTGGTTACCATAGTTACCGTAACGGTATGCAGGATACATGGCATCGTCCTGACAAATCTATAATCGGTATCCCGGCAAACCAGATTGGATTCCTGATGTACGTGTATTTTACACATGTACCCAAGTGCCTCTGTGTATACTCAAATATATTTAAGTACCGGCAAGTCTACTTCACACATATACTCAAGTAGGTGACTGGTCTGTTAAATGTGCCAGTCTTTTATGATTGTGACAGTTGAAATTTCACTATAACATTGGAATAACAGACTCTACACCGTCACTTGCTCTTTCCACATGTACTCAAGTATCTCTGTGTTGAAGTGAAGAAATCTGTGTGTCTACTCAAACATATCCATGTACATCTCTGTAATACACAAATGTACACAGTACCTCTATTTATACAAAGGTACCCAGGTATACACTATGGCGCCCTGGTACATCGTGATTAAAGTTTTGGCTTGTCACGCCGAAGATCCTTGTTCGATTCCCCTAACAGGAACCATGTGTGATGTCAACTTCTGGTGTCCCCAGCCATGCTTGAAGTTTACTACAATCGAAGTGAAACCTTACTCAATATACATACCGCTACAAACACAAAGATACCCTGGGAACCGCAGGAATCAAGGCCATTCCATTCCTCGCTATGGAAACCATTTTTGAAGAGGCAGATCTGTTAAAAAACTTGGCTACCAATTTTTAAATGATGCAGAATTTGCTTACAAGGTTGACTAATGTGAATGTTACAACACCATGGCATGTTATAACACAGGGTATTAACTTGACAACTGTTTGGTATTAACAAGCCACCTCTAGCGGACGTTAAACCATATATAGGGATACTTGGAATATGTAAACATCTCAGGGTGTCGAAAACTTATTAACATCTCTCTCCCTCTCTCTCTCTCATTAACATCTCTCTCTCTCTCTCTCTCTCTCTCTCTCTCTCTGTATCTCTCTGTCTCTCTCTCTCCTCTCTCATTAACATCTCTCTCTCTCTCTCTCTCTCATTAACATCTCTCTCTCTCATTAACATATTCTCTCTGCCCTCTCGCCTCTGCCCTCTCTCTCTGCCTCTCTCTCTCTCTCCTCCTCTGCCTCTCTCTCTCTCTCTCTCTGCCTCTCTCTCTCTCTCTCCTGCCTCTCTCTCTCTCTGCCTCTCTCTCTCTCTCTCTCTCTCTGCCTCTCTCTCTCTCTCTGCCTCTCTCTGCCTCTCTCTGCCTCTCTCTCTCTCTCTCTCTCTCTCTCGATCTCGATCTCTCTCTCGATCTCTCTCTCTCTCGATCTCGATCTCTCTCTCGATCGATCGACCCGGGGTAGAATAGGTCTACAGTAACCATGCTTGCCACAAAAGGCGACTATGCTTGTTGTAAGAGGCGACTAACGGGATCGGGTGGTCAGGCTCGCTGACTTGGTTATCACATGTCATCGGTTCCCAGTTGCGTAGATCGATGTTCATGGTGGTGATCACTGTATTGTCTGGTCCAGGCACGATTATTTACAGACGCCGCCATATATTTTTCAAACCGAAGCGAGGGAAGTACGTTGCTAACCTTTGCTCGCTTCGCTAGCATATAGGAAGACTGGTCATTTTCTCTCCATTGCGCAACCCATTTGCGCTACAGTTTGCCTGTGCCAAAACGAAGGCGTTCACAAAGAGATGAAAGGCTACTCTTATTATTATTATTATTATTCAATAAACATATGTAACATATATGACTGATTTGCCTTCAAATATTCTAGGGTAGGTTAGTTAGTATGTGATATTATATATACTCAATAAGGGGCCGTGGGGTAGCCTAGTGGTTAAAGCATTCGCTCGTAAGGCCTGGATTTCCGTTCGATTTCCTACATAGATACGATGCGTGGAGCCTATTTCCGGTGTTCCCCGGCGTGACATTGCAGGGATATTGCTAAAAACGGCGCAAAACCGTACTCAGTCAGTCAGTCAGTCAATTAGAATCTTAGTATATCCAGCTGCAGGTGATTGTAAGTACAAGTACTTTACACATGTACCAAAGAACCTCTGTACATGTGTCTGTTAAATGTGCCAGTCTTTTATGCCAGCGACAAATACTATTGTCATGTAACATTTAGTACAAACTATGCACCGCCACCAGTACTTCACACGTGTACTCAAGAATCTCTGTGTATACTCAAATATATCCAGGCACATCACTGTATACACAGATATACCAAGTACCACTATTTACACAAAGGTATCCAGGTGCCTCCACATACACCTTGATATCTTTGTATACACTAAGGTGCACTGGTACATCTCTGTATAAAAGACTGACTGAGTTTAGTTTTACGCCACTTTTAGCAATATTCCAGCAATATCACGGCGGGGGACACCAGAAATGGGCTTCACATAAAGCCATAATGGGAATCGAACCCGAATTTTACGAGCGTGAACGCTGTATTCACTATTACTCCCCACCGCCCCCTGTATAAAAGAGGGCGGTGGAGTAGGAGAGTAGTGGAAGCTTTCGCTCGTCACGCCTAAGATTCGGCTTCGATTCCCTTCACTGTGTGAAAACTGACTTGGAACAGCATCTGTTATAGTAGCGTATGGGTTAATGTCTATGCTTCACTTATGATCCATGTGCACCAGTCAAACATTGCAGTTTGTTAAGCATCACATTTACAGGTGGAATACGGCTTTAGCATGAATCAATGGTTCTGTGTCGCTTCAATTGTTTGATACTTTGATGTCACATGAAAAGTCATAACAAACATAAACACGGCCAAATCCATCTGTATAAACTCCGTACGGACGATCCACACCGTCACCTTCTGTAAGTAAGTTCCTGACAAACTGGCCTGACTCAGTCAGATGAACCACATTATTCTGAGAGTGCAGAGCAACCAGAATGTCACCTGTTCTGGTACTTGTGATCCCCAGAGGATGCACCTGTGTTGTGTGTGTTCTTTCGGGGGGTAGGTGAACACAACGTCCCCTTCTGGTGTCAGGCATAAGACACGCTGGGAACCAAAGTCGGACACAAGAATGTTACCTGTTCTTGTGGTGCAAAGAAAGACGGGATTTTTCAGGATCTTCGTTCCACTACAGAGTGGGCTGACTGACCTCAGCACGTTTCCTGTCATGTCCAGAATATCCACACAGGGAGGAGACAGGGGAACCTGCTGCAAGTGTTGATGGGGTCAGGGATGTTATACCCCAGTACTGTTTGTTTGTTGTGATGGTTGACAGCATCACCAGGTCAGGGTTGACTTCAATCGTTATGATTGTTTCATTGTTTACAGTGACAGCCACTTGATTGTGTTGTATCTTTGTCAGACCCAACGGGTGGATGTGCAGACTGAGCTTGCTGTGGCATGACTGATTATCTCTGGTATAGAAAGACTTCACACACTTATTGGTTGGATCAATAGTTACAACTGTATGTGTATCATGTATCACTAGTGCTGTCACGTCACGAGACGTCGCTTTATTTCTATCTCCTGCTACAGTGACGGTGATCGTGTCCCGTAGCACAGGTGTACCCGTCAGGTCCAACACACCGTCACACAGAACGTCTATCTCACCCAGCTGTAGATCGTCAAGTGCTCTACTCAGCTTGTCCGAGTTCTGTCTGAACGTGATCCTGGCTATTCTTCCCTTCTCTAAGTCTGTGTGTACGACATCCTCCACATCACCGGCATCACATCCCTGGTACATCTCATACACATCCATGTCACATTCAGATTGTAGAGTCTGGTCAATCAGTTCAGCCTGTTGTCGGTACATCTGTACTGATATTTCCGCAGACTTAATGTCTGCGTTCAACTGTTCAATGTGCCTATCTGAGATTTCTTTCAGTTCATCTAAAAGTTTATTTTCCTTAAAAGTGATTGTCTCCCTCGCCTTGATTCCGGAAGACTTGATCTTCGATTCCATTTGCACATATCGATCTTTCTCAGTGATGACATTTGATTTAACTGTATCGACTTTATTTTCCATAAGGATTTGTTTCTTTTTAAGATTTTCCTTCTCAATCAGCAGTTTGGATGTTAAAACAAGCAGTTCCGACGCAAGTGTGACAACCGACTCACATTTTCTGTGATAGATAATACAACAGGTTTGACAGGTGACTTTCTTGCAGTCTTTGCAAAGGAATTTGACGCATTCCTCCTTGTGTTCATTACACATGACTTTTCGCCTCCGGGGGATACTGATCTCGCCAGAAAGGTCAAGGACGTCATGATGATGAGTAGAAGGCAAACGTTTGTGCATTCTGGCACATCGGTCACACATGGATTCGTCACACACCGAGCACCATACAGATGCAGGAGTTGTCTCCCCTTCTGCGTGACACCAGGTGCAGTTTGTTGTATCTTGTTGATAAAAGGACATAAACAGAAATTTAGTACTTAATTGGCATATTTTTAATTACCAAAACTAAGGAGTTCACAAAGAGATGAAAGGTTATTCTTATTACTAACATAAATGAATTCCTTCCACCATCAACGCCACCTCCCACCAGCAACATCTTAAGCGATAAAGATAAAGACACTTTTGGACCCTTAATATACTGGGAAAAAGTAGTTAGGGATATATGTAAATTTTGAAATTACGAATAATGATCTATTTATTCATGGACACACTGATAAAATATCAATCATAAAAATACCAATATCCCTAACTTATTTTGTCCAGTATATGCTCCCAGCTCCATTTATAAGAATTGGAAGTACATTTATGACTGTAGCAGAAAATTGTGGGATGCCAAAGTGTGGCGTCTGTATTAGCGGTAGGACTGAGCATGCATTTGGTGAATACCTGCTGTCATCACTGCTCTCTAGTGATCAATTCAGTGATTCACATGATTACCACAGGTGCTTTGCCACTTAATCCTAACACAATCTGACACACACCATTTCAAAGTAGTCCACAAACGATCATGTACATACCGCATACAGTTATCGCGGAAACCTTACCTCTAGATGCCGGACCAAACGAGTCCAACAGTCCCTGGATGACAACACTTGGCTTGACGGCATCCGCCCATTCCTCCACTGGTCTGTCATCAGGCTCAGACACTTTCGTCATCTTGCTGCAGAAGGGACAGAGAAGAGACTTGGCACTGATGGCTTCTGGTTTTGTTTTGGTGTAGTTGACGACACATTTCCGACAGAATGTGTGATAACACACAAGCGTGCATGGTTTGTCAAACACCTCTGTGCATATGGTGCATGTGAGGAAATGTTCCTCCAGTTTCTGGGACGTTGCCATCTACAAATAAACAAAGAAACGCATTTATGATATCCACTGATGGTCAATGGTCAATTCAAAATTGGACATAGCATAAAATAAGTGACTACACGTTTCAAGATGGATAAAGTATAATTAATATAAAAGATCAGGTTTTAAGTTATAAAATCTATCGTATTTCAACACTAAATTGCATTTAGCGTATGATTTTGAACACTTAGATCCAACAGTTCTGAATTAAATCAACAATATCATACGATATCAATAACTATTTTATGTAATAAATTAGGATATTTGTGATGAATACATCAATAAACAAAAACATGAAAAAATATTGTAGGGAATTGATGGTTAAAGTCCTCCTCATACTGTAACAGGTGTGTATCGTCTCGCTGATAGTGCGCTGACCCACTTATGATCTCTCATTTGCATAACGAAAGTAGAATTTTATCAGTAGCTTTGAGCGAAAACAGACAAGAAAATATTTCAATGCATATGATTAATTTTCTCAAAAATGAGTTCTATATATGCATGTAGGTATGATCGAGTTCATGGTTATATCACTGGAGTCATTCTATCTATATGACAATAGCCGTATAGGTTAGAGAAGTGGATCAATTGTACATAACGATAGTAGACAAAACAAGACACGCTTGGTGTACGACACGAATGTGAAGCTGAACCAACACAACAGATGAATTAGTCGCCCAATATCACTACACAGACTCTCTATATATCTCTCTGTAATAATGTGAGTAAAGCATGTCATTGTTAGTGTTATATTATACATAAAACCAAGAAGATATGGACTGCATATCACCTCACCTTCGCTTCCTCGATTCACATGGGCGGTGAAGAGTGAGATTGAACCCTGTGATATATGGCTACACAATACGAAACGGGTTTTACAGCGTGATATTGGCATCATACATACTAAAATATTGTCTGAAATAGAAAAACGTGTTTTTAGACTGTTACTCTGTGTCCCTAAAATTTAGACAACTGCAAATAGCATATGTCGAAATAATCCACATCGGCAAAAACTCGACGTAAAAAGATAGCAATAAAAGCATGTTTACTCGTAAAATCGGGCAAAACTACGAGTGGCTGCTGAAAACAATACATCAGACAGAAGATGGCGATCGTGTCGACTAACCTGGCATGAAATGCATGTGTGCTGTCTACAGGCACAACGGGTCATCTCAAAGATATTTGATGCTTATTCTTGTGTGTTGAATGTTTCATCTATTGATTAACATCGTGTTGTTAGGCCGAACTTAGTTTAGCAGAAATTTCACACTTTCACATATTAACTACATAAATTGTAGATATAAATGTGAGAAAGAAGGTTTTTTTCTTTTTCCGACAGTACTTTAGTATATAACTTGAAGGTATATTTTATTAAATTAAAGTAAAAAGGAAATAATTGTGATTGAATTGCCTTCGGCCTAATGTACTTTTACAGTGTGGCTCAAACTCAAAATGTTATAAATAGGTATACATTGTTGATATACTCACATTTTTAATAAACATATCACTTCAGTGAACATATTTTTGGTTACTATTAAAAAGCCCGCACACTTTGTGCCTGAGTTTCGGGCAAATGACTAACTCTAGTGTTTGTACACTAAGTCATAACATCAATACGTAAAATGATTTTATCAGTATTTTATTGGTATTGTAGACGAAGCCATACATGGAGTGAATGATTGTGTGTCAATCTTGCTATTATTAGCAATAAAGAGGCTGTCTGCCCAAAGAGGGGTTACCATATTTTATCCAGTTTTAAATGGATACAATTTCAAATTATAAATCTACTTTTAGGTAAATTTGTGAATTTTGGCGATCCTTATCAACGTGTGAGTAGTATGTTTTTAGATTTGTATTACGTAGACTGACTGACTGAGTTTGGTTTTAGGCCGCCTTTAGCAATATTCCAGCAACATCACGGCGGGGGACACCAGAAATAATCTTTACACAGTGTACCCATGTGGGGATTCGAACTCGGGTCTTTGGCGTGACAAACCAACGCTTTAACCACTAGGCTACCCCACCGCCCCGTATTGCGTACAGGACCTTCATATTTATGTAACTGTGTTGACTGATGCAAGGGGAGTAACTCTTCCAAGCAAATGCCAACCAGCCCGGACTCCACACCGCCCCTTCCTTCTTATGTCAATAACTAACATAAATCTGTTTACAGGACAGTTGGCAGAAAATTACAGAAAAAAAAAATAGGCAATGCCATTTAGAAAGTGGTCAGATGAAACATGTTTTGTTTTTGGGATTACACTGACTCAGTAAAGAACAGATTCTAGTATTTTTTTGTGGGTTGAGTCCCATCCGAGATTCCAAGCCACACTCTCAGAATCAATCACCTTTAGAATCGCCAGCTCTTCATCGATCTTCATCGATCTTACCTACTCAGCCACCAAAATGGCGTCTGCCTCTGGACTTGATTTTTCAGCCAGTGAAACATATTCTGACAAGCTTAAAACCGTTATAAAAATGGTTAATTATGTTCAGGTTGAGTGTGCAAAATGACTCAATATATAAAATAGTTTAAATAAAGCAGTGAAAGTCGGTAAAATAAATGTGTACATAGTTTACTCAAAAACAGCTAATCGAACGGTTTTCGAACTCCAGGCACTGCATGCGTCATATTATGACGTCATACGATTGTTAGCGATACAGTTTCTCGCCGGAGAGTCTGGTGGTTACCGTGGCAGCGGGTAATATTTTTTCCAGTTGTCACCCTCCTGGGAGGAAACTTGTTAAAGCGTCATTGACCAATGAAATTAAAGTATTTTACATCAAGGTAAGATAAATAAATATAACTAAACGGACTCGTTGAATCACTGCCATATGTATTATATGATGCATATGGTAGTGATTCAACGAGTCCGTTTATTTTAAATAAGACCTAGTAGGAAATGTACGTTTAGATATACACTGCAACCTACAACGGAAGGTGGTGAAAAATGTTAACACATGCTTATGTTTTCATATGTTTACATTAATATCCCGCAACTCTAGTACGTATCTATCACTGGACATAGAGATTATTCTGACCCACAGTTCTATCATAAAGCAATGCACATTTTTCCGTTTCATGCTACATGTGTCACCCAACATATTGCAATGTCTGTAGACATTGTTAAACAGCGTTGTACTGGTATTGCAATATTTCTGTTTAGATTCAGTTGAGGGTGATTTCCATCGTTACTGGATCGTATGCTGGATACATGGTATCGTTCTAACAAATCTATAATCGGTATCACGGCAAAGATTGGATTCCTGATGTATCGATGAGATGTAATTCTGTCAGAGTGAATTGCATGGTTCAGGTGTCTGTAACCACTCCTGGGCTCCTGCAGGCAATACAGAAGTTGTTATCCATGCAAATGTTTAAATGGTGATGGAGTGAGGTAGAGCATACCGTGTTTCCTTAAATAGGTGACAGGTCTTCACACTACAACGGTACAGGAACGTATATTTTACACACGTACCAAAGTACCTCTGTGCATACTCAAATATATTTAGGTACGGCAAGTCTGCATCCAACTTATACTCAAGTAGGTTACTGGTCTGTTACATGTGCCAGTCTTTTATGATTGTGACAGTTGAAATTGCCCTATAACATCGGAATAACAGACTCTACACCACCACTTGCTCTTTCCACATGCACTCAAGTATCTATTTGTTGAAGTGAAGAAATATCTGTGTCTACTAACATATATCCAGGTATATCTCTGTATTTACAAATATACACAGTACCTCTATGTATACAAAGGTACCCAGGTATCCACTAAGGTGCCCTGGTATATAGTGATTAAAGCGTTCGCTTGTCACGCCGAAGATCCGGGTTCGATGCCCCCAATGGGAACAATGTGTGATGTCAACTTCTGGTGTCCCCTGACGTGCTAGTCTGCTACAATCGGCGTAAAACTGAATTCAGTACACATACCTCTACAAACACAAAGATACCCCGGGAACACTCAGCACAATCAAATGTACAGGTACCCCGAAATGCGCGTGTGAATACATAAACGTACCCTTGTACCTCTTTGTATACAAAACCTCACAATAACACAATAATCTCTCTCTCTCTCTCTCTCTCTCTCTCTCTCTCTCTCTCTCTCTCTCTCTCTCTCTCTCTCTCTCTCTCTCTCTCTCTCTCCCTCTCCCTCTCCCTCTCCCTCTCCCCCTCTCTCTCTCTATCATAAAGTACAACACAATACCCAGTTTTATTGCGTGGATCATTGCTAATTCTCGTGCTGTTAATCAGTGGAACATCCGGTCCTGACTCGAAATATTACAGACGGCAGGAATATTGCTGAGTGCGGCCTAAAAATAAACTAAGCCGACTGTACACATACGCATTCAGAAAGCCAAATGTAGACACAAATATTCAGTTTCGTATGTGTGGAACGCCGCTCTCAGAATTATACATTTACTTAAAGAATTAACCAGTAGACTTGCCTGTGCATGTGTTTGTGACGGATGCGACCGCTGGAGCAGGATCCGCTGACCTTTACGCGAAGATCTGGTATCACATCATTGTTTGGTATTGATTCATGGAATATTTGTACAACACTTCCTTTGAAGCAAAGATTTCCTTATGATTATGGACCGGGAATTGTCGCTTACATTTGTATATGTATGCTTCGGAATTTAATCCGAACTGCTTTGATTAGCAACGCAAATTGAAATGTTTAAAAAACCAAAAATCACCAGTTCAGTGAGTTGTGATTTGTCAAAATGAATCCCTTAATTGTAATGGGATCAAGTGTTTAACATGTTACCTTGGAATCGAAAAGAAGATATTTTTAAGAACTCATGTATAGTATAGGCATAAAATCGGCTCTCGTTCCATGTTTATGTAACCCTTCGCGGTTGCTATTGATTGTCTTATTCATTAAGCTATTCACTGCTCTCATATCCATTGTTATGAGAATGTGTTTTTGTTAATTATAATGTCACATTAATTAACTTTTAGTTGTTCTGGGCAACAAATGTTTAAACGATTTGTACTCACACCTTGAACTTAGGCTATGTATTTTCACCTGTTCAGAGTGGGGAATTGCCTCCCCTTTGTTTGTTTTGCTTCCGTCCTTTGTGGTGGAAGACGGTGGAATTTATTAAATGATAAATGTGTGGCGTGGCTTTTGCTAGAATTCTCTGGAACTGTATAATAGGTATATAAGGGATTGTTGCTGAGATGTATGATGGGGACTACCTTCGATTTACGCTCATCTGTCTGCTAACATCGGCGTTTCAAGACCTACCACTGGAGGCCTGGTCTACATCGAACTTTTCAACATTCTTCAATCAGTACATCTGGTTTTACTGAGAGTATAAATAATTTGGTGAGTTAAAAGTTTAGATTTGTGACCCAATATTTCAGATTTGTGATCCAATTTTATTGTATTAGAAATCTGTACTGCTATTCATTGTTACCTTGTTTATTCAATATATAATTGAATATATTAGACTCGTCTATGTTCTATTTTTGTGGGTTTAAAAGGGACACACACGCCTTTTATCACAGTGAGTGAATGAGTTTAGTTTTACGCCGCACTCAGCAATATTACTGCTATATGGCGGCGGTTTTATCACAGTAATTGCTCAACTGTAACACCAAACATTGCCGAGGTTTTGCATTTAATGCAAAATAATACATTACATACCAAACACTATCAGTTTTGCCTGATGTGTATTCAAAGTTTCTTCAAACAGTTCAGACAATCTATGCAATTGTTTCAACCTCAACCAGCAAAAGATGTTTGTGGCTAATGTGATTTATTTCAGGTTCATCAACTTGAATATTACTCATCTTGAGTCACAAAACATAACATAATTGACTACATTCCAATTTAGATATGAACACAAAGTTCACTCAAATCAAGACATTATGGAATCCAAAATGAAGGCTAATCTGTTAATGTTGATAAGCGTCGATTAATATAAATTTGTTCTGTGTTCAAACATACATTTGTAAGAATGTTGATGTTTGAACATTCATTTCTGCGCCTGTCAGTACCTATTTCCTGTCGTTCATAACTAATCTGTAACTGTCTGTTGGCTGCGAACACGTGTTGAGCGGTTTGTCGACATTCAGAGAAGAAACACTACTGGCTTGGAACAGTCTGTGTTAGAGTAGAGTATGGGCAGATGTCTACGTCTCACTTCTGCCATTTAGAAAGTGTTGTATCTTACACTTTCTCAGTAGAGAACAGATTCTAGTATGTTGTGGAGTAACATGCGAGATTCCGACCCACACTCTCAGAGTCAATCACCTAATCGCTGGTTGTCAAATTCATCAATCAACAAAAATTGGAAGTCGGACAAAAGGTGTACGAAAATCGAATCAATAATGAAGCTGACATGGACCATTAAGGAAACAGTTTCACGGTATGGTGTAAGGGAAGCAACTCTTACAGTCTTATTATGCCGTCCAACCTGCTTTCTGCACCATAAACGACTTCAAATATCAGGCTCCTTAGCTGATCTTCATAATTACAATGTCGTCAGTTGGACGGAAAACCCACACTTTCAGAGACAATCATCTAATGAATATTGGAGTTTACAGGTTGTCTGGTTCACGTAGTTTGTGATCATTACACAAAGACATACCGAGTGAGTGAGTGTGTGTCGGTATTGCTAATAACATGGTATGTTTCCCAACCAGGAACATCATGAAAGGGGTTCACATATTGTAAACATAATTTGAATCGAACGCTGGTCTTCAGCTTGATGGACGAACACTTGATCCACATGACCACCTCTACCCCAAGTGGATGAGCGTGTTCGTTGTGACATGATATATTGTCAGTCAGAAAAATATGTGTGTTAACCTTAGAACAATACATCTCTGTTGGATTCTGGGAAAACACAGTCCTTCAGCTCTTGTGTGTGGCTATTATGAGGATCGGATTTTGTGACTCTGATTGCATCCAAATGAAATGTCGCTCATGTTATCAATCACTGGTCTAGGCTCGATTATGTATTATGTACATCCTCATGCCATCCTCATGATTTGCTTTCCACTCAACAGGTTGTAAGTGTTACTTTTAAATTTTCTATATTATATCTCATGTGATGCATATATTGGAGATTCGACATCGTGTGTCCGTTTAGTTGTAACAAGACTTAGAAGAGGCATGTGTGTCTAATTTGAACCTGCAACCTACAACTGAAGGTGGTGAAAATATGTTTAAGAATGCTTATGTTTTGGGGGTTTTTTTTTAACATTCTTCAACTCTGGTAAGTAGCTGTCATTGGACATGGAGATTATTCTGACCCAGAGTTTTATTATATAACTATGCACATATTATAAAACAAAAAGTGAAGGTTCGCCATTGTTCGGTAGACATTGTTAGCAGTCTTGTGTTTGTATTACAGTGATTCTGTTAGGATTCAGGAGAGGGTGGTTACCATAGTTACCATGACGGTGAGCTGGTTATATGGTATCGTTTTGATAAATCTATAATCAGTATCACTGCAAACCAGTATTCGAGTCCTGATAGGCCGATGAGATTCCGTCATAGTGGACTGCATGGTTCAGTTGACTGAAACCACTCCTGGGCCACCACAGACAATAAAGAAGTTGCTGTCCATGCAAATGTTTAAATGGTGATTGAGTGAGGCTGAGTGTTGCAACGAGAAGGCGTGCCATGTTTCCTCAAGTCGGTGACGCGTCTGTTGAAATGTGGCCGGCTTTTATCAAAGCGACAGTTAATACTTCCCTATAACGTTTTAATGACAGACACTACACCGACACTCGTCGGTCACACATATACTCAAGAGCCTCTGTGCATACTCACTGTTCAATACACACAAATGCACACAGTACACACTTAGGTAGTATATGTGTATACACTAGGATGCACTCAAGGTACATATTGATTACAGCGTTCGATTGTCACGCCGAAGACCCGGGAGCAATGTGTGATGCCTATTCCTGGTGCCCCCCCCCCCCCCCCCCCATACACACACACACACCACACACACACCCCTTGACAATGCTAGAAGTTTGCTGCAAACGGCTTAAAACCTACTCAATATACATAGGGTACTTTTGTACTTCTACAAACACAAAGATCCAAGGGAACAACAACTCCGAAAAACAACTGTACCCATGTACCTCTATATACACTGAGATACCGTTTGTTTCCTTTTGTACAAATATACCCCGTGTACCCCTCTGAACATATAAATGTACTCTTGTGCGTCTCTGTGTACACATGGTATCCAGCTATCTCACTGTTTACACCCAAGTGCCGAGGTATCTGAATATTCAAACGTACCCTTGTACCTCTCTGTATACACAAAGGAGCCAAGGTTCTTAGACACGTTTGTAAGGAGGGGTTGGGTGAGGTGAAATTGGGTTTTACGTCATGCTTGAGAATATTTCGCTCATATGACGGCGTGCATGCGTGTGTATTAGTATGTGCGGCTGCTTGCACTAGCCCAGACTTAAGCTGGTTTTATCGTGCAAGCCCACTGAGATACCATGCTGCAGTGAAGCATGAATACCCCACTAAGGCACATAATACTGACTCCGAGCCGACCAGTCCTTGTTGTACCCATTAATGCCGAGCGCCATGCAGGGACCAACAAGTACAATATTTTTATATTTTAACGCTTTAAAGGATGGGAATCATGGCAATCAAGGCCATTCCGTTCGTCACTATTGAAACCATTTTGGAAGAAGCAGATCGCTAATCAAATTATCTACCAATATCTAAGTGACAGAAATGATTGATTAATGTGACTGTATCAACGCATGACACGTTATAACACAGGATATTAACTTGACAATCGTTTGGTATTAACAAGCCCTCTCTGGCGGAAGTTAGGACTCCGTCAATTTTAAGTTATGCTATTTCGCTCATTATATTTATTGATACAATTCAAATATCAGCAGAAAATAAAGACTTTACATTTATGGTGATGTTTGTCGCGACAATAGTATAAGAGAACAAAACAGAAAGGACCACACAATACCGAGTTCTATACGCATATGGCGTGTCATTATTGAAAAAATCTTATTTGAATCACATCTTAGTGCTAATTATATTTTAATGATATTGTTTTTAAGCCAAATGTACACATACATATTCAGAAAGCCCAATGAACACAAAAGTATTATGTTTCGTATGTGTGGAAAGCTGCACTCAGAATTATACTTTTACTTAAGGAATTAGACAGTAGACTTGTTTCTGCATGTGTTTGTGACGGATGCGACCGGTGGAGCAGGATACACTGAACATCTGTCATCATTGTCTGGTATTGATTCATGGAACATTTCTACATGTTTCACTTATACTCAACACTCCGGTTGTAGCAAATATTTCATGTGATTATGGACCGGGAATTGTCGCTTTATTTGTATGAGTATGCTTCTGAAATTAATTCAAACTGCTTTGATTAGCAACACAAATTAAAGTGTTTCAAAAAGCAAAAATCACCAGTTCAGTCTTATGTTTATGCACAATCATAAACAGGTCGTTATTTGTGATTCGTCAAAGAGGAATATTACTTTCATGAGATAAAGTATTTAACATCTTTCCTTGGAATCGCAAAGAATATATCTTTAAGAACAGACCGACTCCCGTTCCCTGTTTATTCGTTAACCTCCGGTATTGAACTGTTCTCATATCCACAAATTACCGAGGTTTTCCATTTAATGCAAAATAATACATTACATAGCAAACACTATCAGTTTTGCCTAATCTGTATTCAAATTATCTTCAAACAGTTCAGACAATCTTTGCAGTTTTTTCTCATCTCCAACTTCAACCAGCTGGGGGTGTTTTTGGCTCACGTAACGTATTTCACTTTCATCAACATGAATAGTACTTCATCTTGAGTTACAATGGATTACATGAATTAAATAAATTCCAATTTAGATGTCAATACAAAACAACAGAGTAGACTATAATAAAGACATTAAAGCCAATTTATTAATGTTTATATGAATCAATTAATATAGATTTGTCTGTGTTCAGACATACATTTGCAATTATGTTGTTATTAATTTAAGTGCCTGAAAGTACAGATGCAATGGTAAATAATATCAGTCGTTAAACTCTCTCTCTCTCTCTCACTCTCTCTCTCTCTTTGTCTCTCTCTCTGTCTCTCTCTCTCTCTCTCTCTCTCTCTCTCTCTCTCTCTCTCTCTGTGTAGAGTATGGGCAGGTGTCTACGCCTCACTTATAATCCATGTGCAAATTGCAGTTTATGTTCTTAATCATCATATTATCAGGTGGAATAGAGTTTGAGTATGAATCAGTTATCTATTCTGTGTCACTACATGTGAAAACGTTGATGTCACCTGAGTTAAGATTACAAACATACACATAGCCCCGATCATCTGCACAAACACCGTACGGATTATCGACGTCGTCACTTGCTGTAAGTAAGTTCCTAACAAACTGGCCTGACTCAGTCAGATGAACCACATTATTCTGAGAGTATAGAGCAACCAGAATGTCACCTGTGCTGGTATTTATGATGCCCCGTGGAATCACCTGTGTTGTGTGTCCTGTCGGGGTGTAGGTGAACACAACGTCCCCTTCAGGTGTCAGGCACAAGACACGCTGGGAACCATAGTCGGACACAAGAATGTTTCCTGTTCTTTTGGTGCAAAGAAAGTAAGGATTTTTCAGGATCTTCGTTTCACCACAGAGTGGGCTGACTGACCTCAGCACGTTTCCTGTCATATCCAGAATATCCACACAGGGAGGAGACTCGGAACCTGCTGCAAGTGTTGATGGGGTCAGGGATGTTATACCCAAGTACTGTTTGTCTGTTTTGATGGTTGACAGCATCACCAGGTCAGGGTTGACTTCAACCGTTATGATTGTTTTATTCTGAACGGTGACAGCCACTTGATTGTGTTGTAACTTTGTCAGACCCCACGGTTGACTATCCAGTCTGAGCTTGCTATGGCGTGACTGATTATCTCTGGTATAGAAAGACTTCACACTCATGTTGATGTTATCTGTGGTTACAACTGTATGTGTATCATGTATCACTAGCGCTGTCACGTCAAGAGGCAATGCATCACTCGTATCGCCGGCTACAGTGACGATGATCGTGTCTCGTAACACAGGTGTAGCCGCCAGGTCCATCACACCGTCATACAGAACGTCTATCTCACCCAGCTGTAGATCGTCCACTGCTTTACTCAGCTTGTCAGGGTCCTGTCTGAACGAGATCCTGGCTATTCTTCCCTTCTCCTTCAAGTCTGTGTGTCTGACATCCTCCACATCACCGGCATCACATCCCTGGTACATCTCATACACATTCATGTCACAGTCAGATTGTAGAGTCTGGTCAATTAGTTCAGCCTGTTGTCGGTACATCTGTACTGATATTTCCGCTGACTTAATGTGTGCGTTCAACTGTTCAATGTGCCTATCTGAGATTTCTTTCAGTTCATCTAAAAGTTTATTTTCCTTAAGAGTGATTGTCTCCCTCGCCTTGATTCCGTTGGACTTGATCTTCGATTCCATTTGCACATATCGATCTTTCTCAGTGATGACATTAGATTTAACTGTATCGACTTTCTTTTCCATAAGCATTTGTTTCTTGAGTATATTTTCCTTCTCATTCAGCAGTTTAGATTTTAAAGCAGGAAATTCCGACTCTAGTGTGACAACTGACTCACATTTTCTGTGATAGATAATGCAGCAGGTTTGACAGGTGAGTTTCTTGCAATCTTTGCACAGGAACTTCACGCATTCATCCTTGTGTTCACTACACATGACTTTTCGCTTCCGGGGGATATTGACCTCGCCAGAGAGAGGTCAATTACGTCATGATGACGAATGGATGGCAAACGTTTGTGCATTCTAGCACATCGGTCACACATGGATTCGTCACACACCGAGCACCATACAGATGCAGGAGTTGTCTCCCCTTCTGCGTGACACCAAGTGCAGTTTGTTTTACCTTGGGAAGAAAAAAAAACATTGAAAGAAATTCAGTATTGAATTGGCAAATTCCAAATTACCAAAACGGAGGAGCTCATAAAGAAATGGAACGAGGAGTTTAGTTGTACAGGTAAAACCTGACGATATATAATCGTTCCCAGAGTATCGTCGTTTCTAACATTAACTTTTATAAAATTATTCCTTCCAACAACTTAAAAGAAAAACAGATCCCAGTTCCCGCTTATAAACATTGAAGGTAAGAATGAGACTGCAACAGAAACCATGATATGCTGTGATAAGTGGGGGTGTCTGTATTTGACACGTGTTGGCGCCAACTTGGCGGTAGAGCAGAACATGCTTACCCGTTTCGTGAACACCGTTTCCAGTGATCAAGTCACGTTTATATTCACTGATAGTTTGCCCAGTATGAAATCTGACACATAGCACCTACAAGTAGTCCACTAACGATCCTGTCCATACTTCACGTGCTAACGCGGTGGGGATGTGAAATAAAACATCCAAACCTCACCTTTAGATCCCGGACCAAAGGAGTCCAACAGTCCCTGGATGACAAAGCTTGGCTTGACAGCATCCGCCCATTCCTCCACTGGTCTGTCGTCAGGTTCAGACACTTTCGTCATCTTGCTGCAGAAGGGACAGAGTAGAGACTTGGCACTGATGGCTTCTGGTTTGGTTTTTGTGTAGTTGACGACACATTTCCGACAGAATGTGTGATAACACACAAGGGTGCATGGATTGTCAAACACCTCTGTGCATATGGTGCATGTGAGGAAATGTTCCTCCAGTTTCTGGGACGTTGCCATCTACAAACCGAAAAAGGGTACGCATTTTTAAGATCCACAGATGGTCAATGGCCAGTTAGAAATTGGATATAGTATAAAATAAGTGACTACACGTTGCAAGATGGATAAAGGATAATTAACATAAAAGAACGCGTTTTGAAATCTATCGTATTTCATCATTAAATTGCATTCAGTGTATCCTTTTGACCGCTTAGATCCAACAATACTGAAATAAATCAATAATATCGTACGGTCTATTCAAAATTGGAAAAAGTATAAATTAAGTGAATACATGTTGCAGGATGGATGAAGCATAATTAACATGAAACAACACGTTTGACGTATTGAGATCTATCGTATTTCATCCTTAAGTTGTAAGAGTGTTAACATGTATATCCAACAATACTGAATAAAATAAACAATAGCATACAAAATCAATTTTATGTAATAAACAAAATCAGATTAGGAAATTGATGGCCAAAGTTCTCTTCATACTGTGACAGACGTATATCGTCATGCTGATAGTGCGCTGACCTACTTTAGGGTTCTCATTTGCATAACGAAAGTAGACTTTTATCAATACCTTTGAGCGAAATCAGTACATATGATTATTCTCTCAAAATGAGTTATGTGTATAAATGTAGGTATGGTAGAGTAATGGCTTATATCTCTGGAGTCATTGTATCTATATGACAAACCTCCTACGTGAGGTTATAGAAGTGGAGCAAGTGTACATGAAGACAGTAGACACGCTCGGGTGTATGACACGAATGTGACGCTGAGCCAACATAACGGCTGAATTAGTAGCTTAATTTGAGTTCACTGACTTTCTATAAATCTCTGTGCAATAATGTGACTAAAACATGCCATTGTTATCATTATATCATACATACAACCAAGCAGATATCGACTTCATGTCACCTCACCTTTACTTCCTGGATTCGTTAGGGCGGTGAAGAGGGAGATTGGACCCTGTGATAAATGGCTACACACCGAGATAATGAATGAGGTTTCACAGCGTGTAATAAGCATCGCAAATGCAAGTACATAACTTGCAGGTATATTTTTGTAATGGTAGAAGGAAACCCTTGCGATGGAAGCGACTTCGGCCCCTTGTAATTAAACAGTTGGAAACAAACTCATTCTGCTGAATTAGTGTTATAAATAGGTGCATTGTTGATAAACTTACATCTACACAGAACATATCACTTTCGTAAACACTTTTGGGGAGTTACTATCAATAAAATCCATACATTCTGTGCCTGAGTTGAGGCAAATGACTGACTTCAGTTTTTCTACACTAACCCATAACATCAATGCCTAAAATCAATATTCAGCCAATTCACGGCTGGGGATACCAGAAACTGACACAGCACTTTTTAACAATCTGGGTAATCGAACCCGGATCTTCTTCATGATAACCCAAGCAGGCTACCCTGCTATTCCTGGTGATATGAAGGACCTTGTTCTAACCTAGCTTGTTTTGTTCTCTTAAAATGTGCACCTGTTAGGCTGTATGGTAGAGTAATGCAACTTTCACCGTCTTACTAAGCTTATAAATTTCACTGCACTGCCTACTGATGTCTATAACTGACCAAGATCTTGGTGGATGACTGCAAATGACATTTTGCTGTTAGATTGCAGGTGTAATAGCTTCATTTCTGAGGAGAAGCCTGGCACCATTTGTGATTATGTTTAATCCCCGAGTGGTGATCTTTTAAATTTCTTTATGCTTAAATGGGAGTAGAACAAAATTATTACTGCAAATATTATGGATTGGGTATCAATGATACTTGTTAAAAGGTGTACGAAAATTCATCGAATCAATAATGACATTAAATCTGGACCATGAAGGTAACCGTTTCGCGGTATGGTGTAAGGGAAGCAACTCTTACCGTCTTATTATGCCATCCAACCTGCTACCGGCAACCTGAATGCCCCCAAATGTCAATCTCTCTTACTGATCTCGACTATTTCCGTATACTCAAATGGACGGGTTCTTGCTTATTGAGCATTTTAGCACGAAACAAGCTCACTATAAAGAAGACATATTTTCCAATTCACGCAATCCACTTATTTACAGTAATTCAGTTTCCGCGTTTGTGAAATATAATGCATTTGAATTGGGGTGGGGGGGGACTTCCAATTCACAGGCAAGCCTATTATGTTGAATGATGCAAGGGAAGCAACTCTTCTAAGCAAATTTAACCAACCCGGAGTCCTTAACCCTCTAACTTACATAAATCTGTCTACACAACTGTCAGCATTTGTATCTTAATATCGAGTGCTATCGTATATGATTTTGTTCTTACTTTAAAAGCAAAAAAATACAAAATACAAATCAAATTAAAAAATACGCTTCAGTCCAATTCCTTAACAACAGAAATTTACAGACACACTATTTCAATACACGATCTCATTTAGGATGTGTTGTATGATGATTTCACTTTCTCGGGTTAGGTCAGATTCTAGTATTTTGTGGAGTAACATCCGAGATTCCAGCCCTCACTTCCCGAATGAATTACTTAATCATTAGCTCTCGAAATAAGCAATCTTGCCTACGCGGCTTCAATGGATGTCGGACAAAAAGTGTAGGAAAATCGAATCAATAATATAACTGACCTGAAACATTCAGGAACATGGTTCGCGTTATGGTGTAAGGGAGGCAACTCTTACCGCCTTATTATGCCATGCAACCGGCTTTCTGCATAATAAACGTCTTTTTAACTGATCCCGATTATTTCCATGTCCTCAAATAGACGGAAACCCCGCACTCTCAGAGTCATTCATCTAATGACTGCGGCTTTCCCAAAATATTAGAGTCTACAGGTGGTCTAGATCACGTAGTTTGTGATCATTACACAAACACAGATACTGAGTGAGTGAGAGTGTGTCAGCCTTGCCAACAGCATGGCGTGTTTCACAACAAGGAACAGTAGGAAAGGGTTTCACATATTGTAAATATATATTTAGAATCGAGCTCCGGTCTTCAGTGTGATGGACGAACAGTTAACCAAAGAGCCACCCTACTTTAAGTAGTTGAGAGTTTTGATTGTGACATAGTATATTGTCAGTCAGCAAAATATGTGTTAACCTTAGGACAATACATTGTTTTACTTTTGTGGAATTCTGGGTAAAACACAGTCCTTCGTCACCTCTTGTAGCTGTATTGAGGATCAAATGTTGTGACTCGGATTGTATCCCAAAGACATGTGGCTCATGTTATCAATCATTGGTTGTCCTGGTCTAGGCTTCATTATCTACAGGCCGCCCTGCTATACCTGGAGTGTCAAGGCGTGTGGTGCAAAACAGCAATCAATTGCCATGCTCATTTTCCTGCTTCCCTTGCAAAAAGTTAGCGTCAATTGTTCACGTAATACATCAAACGTGAGTGAGTGAGTTTAGTTTTACGCCGCTTTTAGCAATTTCAAGGCGGGGGACACCAGAAAAGGGCTTCCCACATTGTAGCCATGCGGGGAATCGAACCCATGACTCCGGCGTGACGAGCGAACGCTTTAACCACTAGGCTACCCATATATATCATGAGGGAGTGAGTGAGTAAGTTTTACGCCGCACTCAGCAATATTCCATTATATGGTGGCGCGGCGGTCTGTATCTAATCGAGTCAGGACCAGACACTCCAGTGATCACGAGATTGAGTATCGATCTGCGCAATTGGGAACGGACGACATGTGTCAACCAAGTCAGCGAGCCTGACCACCAGATCCCGTTAGTTACCTCTTATGACAAGCATGGGTTACTGAAGATCAATTCTGACACGGACCTTCACGGGTCTATATATCATGACTGACTGACTGACTGAGTTTGGTTTTACGCCGCTTTTAGCAATATTCCAGCAACATCACGGCGGGGGAACACCAGAAATGGGCTTCACACATTGTACCCATGTGGGGATTCGAACCCGGGTCTTCGGCGTGACGTACCAACGCTTTAACCACTAGGCTACCCCACCGCCCCTCTATATATCATGAGATGTATATACATTATAAAGTATGATCAATAACAAAGTCTTATTATTTTAATATCAATGCAGAGAGTTTTTATTCATGAACCATTTCGACATTATTAAACTTTTATAGTTGTGTTTCTTTGGAACAAAGCAACAAGGTAAATGTAATCGTTGGTTGTGGTATTCATTATTTCAGACTACATACTTGTCATTTTCAACACATTTATATATAATAAAGTCATAAGCAGGCGGTTCATCAATAAAACACGACGTCACTTTCCAGTTGTAGCACTTAATGTCTTAATTCACATGTCCTGTCGACATCATCATACTGAACATAAAATTGCTTAATATTGAAATGAGTAGTTACACTTCACTCCATATGGACCGATCATTTGGGATCGCAATATTTTAGATCAAAGTTTATTCAAGAAAAGTCGGGAACATAATTAATACCTAAGGTTTTACAAAAAATATCGTTGTTCAGTAGAAGCCCTGCAAAATTTGATCTGCGGACGAAAATTGCAGCGAAAGATATGTATTTTGTAGGTGTGAAGAAAGCCTGTCCCAAACAAATATCCAGTAATTGGTCAGCGGTCGGTTACTGACGTAAGTTGCTGATATGTTTTGTATTATCATTCTGTGAAGAACTAACGGTTCTACGTACAGTGAGTGAGTGAGTGAGAATGGTTTACGACGCTTCCAGGAATAATACGGCGGGGGACATCAGAACTGGGCTTCAAACATTGTACCAATGTGGGGAATCAACCCGAACCTTCATTGTGACACGCTGAATCGCAAACTCCTAGGCTACCACATTGCCACTTATAAGCACATACATGACTGTGAAAACGTCAACCCGTTAGTCAGGAACTACTTTGGAATACCAAGTGAAAATTACCAAGTGTAATACCAAGTGAAAATGTATGGAATATATTTTCACTTATTCCTCATATGGTTTCAGTCCAGTTTCTTTTTAATCACAACAGGTCGAGTGAATCATGTCAAGAATATCCTCAGAGCTTGGTCTTCCGTCATATATAACTTGTATTAAAATCACATATTGGGCTTGTTGTGATGTGTACATCTTACATCAATTATCCAATGGATACTCCACGTTGAGTGACGAAAAGCATCGTGGCATTGGAACTCCATTCATCGATTCATCGATCACACAAAGGCTGTGCCAAAACAAACCATTTCACTTACAGTTCGTCTCCAGTTCTTTTCTCAACCATGTGTTCATTCAGTTGTTTTTTTTGCCATGGCGTACAAAACACGCTTTTGACTTGAAATACAATTACCTGTTTTTCGGTGGTGTTCTCACAATTGACGCTTAACGTTCCCGAGTGACGTGTACCAACAGGAACACGACATAAGGGGTAACCACACGTTACCGAGTGAAATCAGGCTTGGCTGTGTCATAAGGAAAGGGCATCGATCTCGTTTGAAGTGTAGGGTGGAATCTCATTTTAGTTCATTCTTCACCATTCACGAAATTTCTCTCCGTGAGAATTTTGACACCTTGTCCATCTTGTTGCCCCAAGTAAACCCTTTAATCAGTCAATCAAAGTGAATGCCTAGGAATTCTCTGAATGAGTGAGATAATGTGCATCTCCTAACCAGCTGTACAGTCAGTTCCGAATGTAAATAATATAGGCCGCACATGTTTGCGTGTATTTCACACACCATGGCAATTCTGAACGCCATTAAGGTACACCCAAATGGAGTACCATCTATGTTGGTTCATTTTGTGTGTCAAATGTCAATTTCCAATTCAATGGGGCCTGGTAAAGAAATATAGCTGAATCTCTCAAGATTGGCAGTGACAGGTCTTCACGTGACACTCGCTGCACAACATTCACACAACGCAGCGGAAGAGTCTTCCTGTTTAAGTACGAGCCCGTCTGTGTCAAACACTACTTTGACTTTCATTCAGGAGCGGTTCCTGCTGTGCAAGAGGCTCTGAAGACAAGTTCGAACTGCTTGATGACCTACGTCCTGAGAGACCCCGGAAGGAAGACACGCGCATGCCCGTACTGGTCGTGATGAGGTCATTATCAGCCCCCGATGATCCGCTCTGCAAAAACAAAGGAATGGAAGTAAAGAGAGGTAAAACTATGAGAGGGAAGGATGCTCGATGTAGACCTGGTTACCTTGCTGATTTAACCCGGTAAATTGAGTTTTGGAACCAAAAGCATACATTAAGCAAACATTAACATACGAAAGCGACAAGTTGCAATCTTTTTCTTGGTTTAAAACTTCCCAACATTAATTTTATTGCCAGACATATTTTATTATTGTGGTGACGGCAACTTAACATTTTGTATGGCATAATTCTACATTGTGCATACGCCAGGGTCAAATGCTCTGAGGATAATGATTGAGAAATTTACAATAGCTTAGGCCGTGATACGGATCGTATCAATAAAAGTCTCAGCTTTGTTTTGCATATGCAATATAAAAATGCAAAACATCGTTTCATTGAACGTAAAGGTTCATCATACGACACGCGATGAGGTTTTATCGCGTTGTAAAATAATCGCAAGTCCTTTGAGTACGCTTCTATTTCATTGGAACCCGACCCGTGAAGATCCGGGTTAGTATTGGTCTTCAGCAATCCATGCTTGACTAAGAGGCGACTAATGGGATACGTCAGGCTGGTTGACATGGTTGACACATGCCATCGTATCCCAGTTGTGCTCATAATGTCAACCACTCGATTATTGACAGAGGGACGCCAAATAGCTGGAATATTGCTGAACAACGGACAATAAATCAAATACCCAACTGAATCCCGTCTATTGCACTGATAATTTCTCAGATTACAAGCATTGGTTGCAAAAGATCATCAAGTGTAAAGTATTCAAATGGGATCGTCGGTGTGGGTATTCCTTTCCGATAGCAAAGGCTGTACACATGCGATAAAAGGTTTTATACCATCCTGTAATGTGGGAATATTGCAAGATGGTAAATGAATATTCCAAGTTGGTAAATAAATATTCCAAGATGGTAAATGAATATTCCAAGATGGTAAATGAATATTCCAAGATGGTAAATGCATATTCCAAGTTGGTAAGTGAATATTCCAAGATGGTACATGAATATTCCAAGTTGATAAATGAATATTCCAAGATGGTAAATAAATATTCCAAGATGGTACAGGACAAATGAAGAATTTATCCCAAGACTACACGCTACAACGAGTTCACTCACGCCATGTGGGCAATACATGAGCCCCACCCACTCAGAACATTGAAATCTGCAGTCTACAATCAATGAGATTCACTCGGCTAATTTCGCAACCCCAAGCAACAGTGAAACTGTGATATCGCAATATTACATATTTTCATTAAAAAATCGATTCGATGCGCACATATTGCTGTCTATGTATCACACATCACGTTGCATTTATTGCACACGGGCCAATGACCTTTATACGGACATAAATTATTCAATGTTCAATGTTATTGCTGCGTATCTGTGGAAATGTTGTGCCTGCAATTAAACATTATGCTGTTATGATGGTGATCGCAATTTACAACATTAAACCAGCATCAGGACTTTTAATGGTTGATATGTTACGTTAAGTAATCAATCATGTTGTGTATATTGTGCCCATTTCTCAAAAGATACATCCAAACACACAGATAAGCGACCAAAAATTATCGTATGAGGCGACTAAATAGATTGAATGCTAAGGAGTGAGTGAGTGAATCTTGGGTCTTCAGCGTGACGGGCGAACGCTTTACCTATTAGGCTACCTCACCGCCCCGGATGGTAAGACTCAGTACCTTGCGTGTATCGCGATTGCATGGAACGTTGCGCATGATATCAGTGACTGGTTTGTTTGTAAGTATTGCTCAATTACTGTCTGTCAATACATTTGAGTGGGGCATTGAACAGCAAACATACACAAGGAGACATTACCTTTGAAAACTTGCGAACCTTTTCTTTACATGCACATCTGATGACTGACGAGACGAGGAGGATGAAGACTGTGACACAGATGACGATGATGAGGACCATGAGGATGGTGCTGGGGCCGCACCAGTCGCTGTAGTCGCCAGAGTTGTTGAAGTCGTCACAGTGGAGGCTGGTGTTGATGCAACGTTTGTTGTCACATCTGAACTCGGTCGTGTCACATTTGCCTAAAAGAGTAGTAACAAACTAACTTTATAAAATAAACATTGAAACGTGAATTCTTTACATGTTTGTTGTTTATTGTCCAGCTTAACGATACCGAAGCTTCAAGATGAAGGCATGTAAAATACTCGGCTGTGGACCAGAGAACGCAACACTGCTCGGGACTTGATAACATGCATCAACCAACTCCTGTAAGTCGCCGCAGAAGACCAATTGTAATGTATATTATTGTATCGCAACTACGAAACATACGAGCATGGAGATACAGGTTCCTGGGCATAGACCCATTGTCGTGTCCCTCTCTCCGGACACACGCTCCTTACCTGCTTCATCAGACTACTATTAGTAGTTATAATTATTATGATGATAATCATGTCCTATGTTCCAAGACAAACAACAGCTCACAAGACGAAAAAGATAAAATAAGATGGGGACGTTTTCCAGTGATGACAGAAAACCAAAGAATTTGTGCTCAATGTCCCTGTCAGAAAAACTCCAGATTTGTCGCTGCAACAGCCAGACCGGGGTTGAGGTGAGGTAAAATGGGGTTTAACGTTTAAGAATATTTCGCTCATATGACGATGTACATTCGACCGAGGTGAGTGCAGTTCAAAATTTAAATAATCTGACAATGCACAAGGTTACAAAATTCAGGTTTGAAACAGGTAGTTTTCTAGTGGATGGCGAACATTGTTAGTAAATATTGTTGCGACTGAGCTATTTCGACTTGACGTCGTTTTGAGCAGAATTTTAGTCATAAAATGGCGAGTACACCTGACGTGAGGGACATCCATTAGTCATGCAGGTTCCGGGCGTTTGCTATCTGTACATGGTACAGACAAACCAAGGAAAACAATTAGGGATAATCAGAGATTCGAACCATGATCATTGAATCCTTCCACAAAAATGTTTGCAATACTACTTAGAGGATTATATTGTGAACGGTGGTAATCAGAAGGACTCCAACACACGAAAAGCGGATCCTTACACGCTGAAGGGACATAACCTTGGATATCGAATTGTTTTTCGAATGATCGTGATTGGAAGGATTCGCAGACAGGACAAGAGGATCATTCACTGCCAGGCAACGTCATTTTATCTTTATCACTAAAAATATACTTTCAATGGCACCAACTAAAAATCTCACCAGTATGGAATGCAGTAAAAATGAGGTCAAATCCTCTGTATTCAATTGTTAAGTCGCTGTGGAACACAAACGTGACGACATCGCCGGTGGTGACAAACGTTGCACGAGGAGTGAGAGACCCACATAATTTGTTTGTTATAGGAGTTTCTGAAACAAACAAGAGAATTCTCCAAAAGTTACAACGTTTGGAAAAGAAACATGTACACACACACGCACGCACGCACGCACACGCTGCTCTTCCGCACATATTGCAGTCATTTAGTTACAAAGCACCTTGTCCATAAACGTTGTCGCAAAATGTCACGTCCTGTTCTGAAGGGGCCTCTAGCATTGGTTTTCTTATAAGATATAACGCTGAAATAACATCTTGAGTTAATCAGGATTAGGTATAATAATGGTGGTTTTAAGTAAATTTGTCGGATTATTCTGTCTTAGCTTTATGATGAATAATGTCACGTGTCATTCTATCCCTTCCCAATCCTGATAAATTTCCTTTTTACAGTTATAAAACATCATGTTGAGAAATCTGATAGGACTATGTAAGTGCAATGATTATGGACACTTGTGCCCTGCAGTCAGTCGTGATATTGAACGATATGTAGCATGGTTGCTACGAACAATAATATTGTGAACACTCATTGCGTCATTGTTTTTATTGGAAGATAAATAACAGCGACACAAATCAATTCCAAAGTCCATTGTACGGTGGAGTATGTCAAAACAGAGTATTACTCCCGACATACTGATGGGTCAAATTTATGGCATCCAGATGTCGTGCCAAAATATCCTTTTAAAAAGTTTATTGGTGCCTTGAATGTCGTAACCCTGACTAAAACGATTTCGCTGATTGAATTTGTTTCACCTGTCATTTGTTTTCTGTTGTTGGTAAGATTCATTATTAAGTTAAATTCTAAACCATATCAAAGTGGGCGATTGATCAAAACTTTTTTTTATCTGATAATGGACATGAATCTGTTATTTAGCTGATACTGTCTATTAATCGCGGAGAATTCGACGAAGTGATGTCTCCTACATGTACTACAGTAACTGTGAAAAATATATGTTAGTGAGTTTGGTTTTACGCCGCTTTTAGCAATATTCCAGCAATATCACGGCAGGGTGACACCAGGAATTGAGAAACATATGTCGTCATACTGAACATTGTCAAACAATGAATGATGTCACAATTCGTGATCGTGCAATCCTTAACAGGGATGATGATTAGAATTAACGGCCAGCAGAATGCGAAATAATATATAAAAATGATGGGTTTCTTTCTAGGAAAACTGAAAATTGAAAATACAGTAATTGAAATATTCATACTGCAATGGAATGTGGAATGAATTTAAAGAAGTGTCACAAACGGAAATGGTTCATTGCAACAACATGTGAAAACCTATTCTGGACTCAACCGGGGTGATAAAGCTGGAATTACAAGAAAAAGTAAAAATGAAAGTAAAACAAGGAACTTCAGACTCACTTGTATATTGCTCAACATATTTGTGATTATCCATAGAAGGGCTCTTGTCATCCGGACCATCATAGAGGATCAAATAATCAGACTCACAGCCCTCCGACATGAACCCTTCGATCTCCATGTCAAGAAACCTGACCATCAAGTGATGGTCAGCAGGTGTCCGGATGGACATCGTGCAAGCCATGTCCTTCCGGTATCGTTCATTCTCGTACGTGAGACGCAGCCTCCCTGCTGAGATTGGACGGTCCATCATATCTAGCACACTCATAGAGCACCATTCTGTCATGTAGTCTGAAATAGAGATAGCCGGGACGTGCTCAACGTTCCATCTGTTAATGCAACAAAAATATGTCTAGGCCCCAGCAAATGGTCACTGAAAGCAGCTTGAGTCAATTAGCTCATACTGTCTGGCAGTCCATGTGTTATAAAAGTGTAGTCACTCCCGATTGACCTGTGCTTTTATGTGTATTCTGTTATCACTAAAACGCCAGACCCGATACATCGGGAATGCAGTTTATGGCCGTCTTCGAGAGAAAACAATTAAATCATCTGAAAAAAAGAACTGTTAGCAGTTTGTTTTCGCAGCAATACGCAGAATTACTTTCCATGTTCATGCTCGTGAATCACATTCAACGCGGTGATATGACGCCATTTGGTTACACAATTCATAACAAAAACGTTTTGCAATTATTCCAAGAATAAAGATAGGATGCTTGACCTGACCTGGAACCTGCACCCGTTTGTTACAGTATCCTTTATGAATCATTACAACTTTTCAATTCAAAGATAATATACTCATGCCAATAATGGTTGTCACCCCCTTCAATGTTTTTTATTGGAGAGGGTGGGGTGGGGTGTGGGTGTGGTTGGGGTGGGGAGGGGGTGGTGACAACCATTATTGGCATGAGTATATTAATGTTATACAAGCAAAGATCGACACTCATTTGTAACTTTCGTCTTACTTCCTGAGGACTGGCAAATATTTAATGTGAACACATCATTTCCCTTCATTAAAGAATATATGATCCAGGACTCTTTGGATGTACAATATGAATTATGTGAAAACAATCAAAGAAAACAACTTAACATTTTATAACTAGACTGCAATAAATGCTCTCACTACGTCATGAAGAAATACGCAAATAGTTCCATGTCAAATGTGACGGGTCATCATAGTAACCCACCAATCCTTGTGTTTGGGCAATGCAAGGCGAGTACTATTCCATGACGTTTGCATCACGCACAGAGACATTAAAAGTCTGGAAAAGACAATCCAGTTATCAACAGCATGCGCATCTATCTATGCAATTGGGATGCGATGTGACCACCCGATACCTTTAGTCAGCGCGTACGACAAATATTGGTTGCTGAAGACCAAATCTAATCCGGATCTTCACGAGTTTCGTTACCGGGATAAACGCCTAACGCGTTGTGCCATTATTCTATAACCATGGTTTGAATTCCAAATTTGTCAAGTTAGTATCACCTAAATGTACACCCAAATCTGTGTTTCAGCGGTGCTCACGCCCACGCACAGGCACACGCACAGAGAGAGACTTGGTATTGTGTTGTACTTTATGATAGAGAAGAGAGAGAGAGAGAGAGAGAGAGAGAGAGAGAGAGAGAGAGAGAGAGAGAGAGAGAGAGAGAGAGAGAGAGAGAGACATCCACCAACACCAAACCGTAATGTGACCGTACCGTTATAAAAGTGTTAATTCGAACCTTCAAATAACTTTGCAACCCCATCGATTTATCTAGGGACATCCGCAACCTAAATATTGAGCATGAACGCAGCTAAAGTTTAAGCATGTGAATACTGCACAATATGATTCTCAATCTCGATTGCTAATCAACTGATGGCCAGAGTCCCATCGACACTACTCGATGGTTGAATTACATGGTTGCACCAACAAGCCATTAAGTTTATGAGAATGGACATATCTTCCCCATGAGGACAGTAACACACAAACTCAATATCGTAATGTCTGATGGAGCCGTATAGTTCTGCTGCGGTCGATGCAGTGACTGTGCATATGTGCTTCATATTAACCATATAATGAAACCTGCAGTTTGCAAAGACCCAGTATGTCAATATTCTTTGTATTTGCTCAGACAGATCTAGATTCACGCAAACTCTGTATGGGATTAAACAAGCAGTGAGCTGTTTACACTGTTTGATGTTCAAAGTTGTGAAGTGAGGCTCACTGTATTGTGGCACACTGTGGTTTGAGTGTTGAGCATGGATCGATACTTGAGTTCATTATACCTTTGAAGGGCTTATAGATAAGTACCTTTGCTCTATGAGCAGCAAACGAAATGGTTAACAACACGTGTGCATACATACGCATGAGCATTAATTACGCACCATCTGACCGCAAGGGCAATTTTAACATTTTTGTCCAAACAGGTGATAATACCCTGTCATGAAATGCACATGCATGTCAAACACGTGCAAAATCTCAAAAGCTATTGGTGGCAAGCTCACCGCATAGTTGCAGGATGAGCATTACAGTTTTCTGAACTGATTTAAAGCTTGACAGAACTAGCATAAAAAGACTTTCAGATATTCACGTTATTGACAATCATGATGTAGGGACGTCGGTATTAATTTTAACTTTAACCACACTGATATCAGTCGACTTATCACGAAGCACGTGGCTACCGGTGAAGTATAAGATCGTCCAAGACATGGAAGACCGAGGAATCACAATAACCGTGATGACTGCGTCCTTTCGCTGTTTGGCAAGACGCAATCCCATGTGAAACTGCACTGGCCACTGAGAGGGGACGTCCATCTCTCCACCAGTGCCATCAGTAGGAGGCTGGGGCTGCTGGCCTGAGAGAACGTCGTCCGATCAGACGTCCCTTCCTCACAGATAGGCGCAGTCAGGGACATCTGTATGTGGTGCAGACGACATGGCGGAGGGTTCGTTGGCCTATCTTTCACACGTTACTGGCAGTCGTAGTCGAGTACGGAGACGTCGTAAATAGCCACATCACCAGGAAATGATCCACAGAGCTGAACTATTTAGTAGTGGTTCAGTGATGGTTTGGGTTTTTTTCGTATGATCGATCTCATTACAGTATCTGGTACACTTTATGGTCAACGTTACGAACAGGCAATACTGGGTACCGCCGTACCTGCCACATTGTCATGCCCACCCCTTAGCCAGTCGTCCGATTTTCATGGATGGCAACGGTAGATCTCACCTTTCTCGGAACGTTACCATGGACTGCAAGGAGCCCCGATATGAACCCGATTGAACATCTTGAACATCAGGTGCAAGATAGAGACCCTCCTATTCAATATCTGCAGGGATTGACAGCGGCACTCTATAAGAAATTTCAGAGGATTCCGACGCTGAGAATTCAAAGCATGGTCGAGGAGGAGACTGACATATACTATCCATGCAAGGGGTCGCCAGAAGTGTTTCACACAATCATAACATTCATTATTTGAGAACTGTGTGACAATCAGATTGGTCGCGTCGCCATGGTGACCATACCTTCGGCAGCGTTGATATGCACGTCTAGTGTATTCCTCTCAGATCAGTAAATTGTTGCCAAATTTCAATGTAAGTTTTGGCTTTGTACTAATCAGAGTAAAACGTGACAATTACCATATAAATACGCGGAATGGGCCGCTGGTTTTCAAAGCACATACATTAACAAGTATAGGTTTCATGCTTGTCACATATAAACAGGACTGCTTGGTTAATGCTCATGTGTATATGTACTCTCACAGGTTTCTAGGTGAAAGGTGTCCCAGAACAACAGGACTGCACTGCATTGGACCTTCAGTTTTTTTACATATCACTGAACGTGTTCCCTGCAAGACACACACAATTTCATGCATTCTTGAGACAACATTCGCAGACAACACCAGTACCATGTATTTGGATCCCCCATGTATGCAATACACACAACAGCTTTTTACATGGTGTTGGGGACATACTAAAACTGTAACAAAAGCCCAAATCAATAATGGTTTTTCCATCCCTCCTATCATCGATTGAGGTGAAGCTGTTCAAACATGGATACAGCGTTTGGCAGAGAAATTAATTTTGTTGACCATATTCATGCTCTCGAATATAATTATATAGTTAGTAAGTAGTTGTTATATTGTTGCAATACGTTCATCTTTATATACCACTACGTTACAAGCCATCTGATGTTTTAAATGTGCAGATCAATTTCAAGGGGATGTGGGTGGGAGTGGTAGAAATTTGTAAGCAGGTTGCGCTCTTCAAGTCCAGAATGCATAAAGGTATCAATGCATTGCGCATGTTTTTACAAACCATGATCAATAGTTGACATTGTAAATCTAATAAACAGTAAGACATATTCAACACTGCAAACCTTGCCACAAGAACAACCTATTTATGTGAGAAGTATCTGTACGACCACGTCTCACTTAATGTATGATTCTTTACCGATAGTTCTCGTACCTCCATGAGCGCAATTGCTGAACAAACACTTCTGGGAATTGGGGACTCAACTGACTGTCTGTGAAATAGGACAAACAAGCCCACGGACATACATCTGATATCTAGCGTTAAGGATCGATTAAACTAACTGGCTGTCAGCTTTGTTGAAATGGACATCCGGAATGTTATAATGGCGAGGCAATGTAGCGTTGCAATAGGATAAATGCGCCCGAAGCATTATGATCAGAAAATTGCATTGTCTAGAACCTAAATCTAACCAGATAAGATGACCATTACGCGCGCCTCTAGTAGGCTCCTATTGACCTGACAGCGGGGCTTCAAGAAGATTGGCTGACTACGTTTTGTTTTACGCTGATTTGCATTTTGAGCATCATATCAGTTATATTAGGACGTGTCATCTTGATATGGAAGGACAGCAGGTCTGGTGCGGTTGGTCCTGTCCGTCGACCACTTTAATTTGGTGAAACCAAGGAGCATAGAGTGCTGCTGTAATGATCTAAACTGGGATTCGAACCTACAACATACGATTTCTGGCACGACGACCCGTTGCCCTGGTAGCACATGGGCCCATGTTTGTGTGTCGCACATAAATTAGTTATTTTTCTTGCAGATTAAAATTAATCCTTCTTGTAATATTCGCAATTGACATTGTCATCACTGTCACTAGTAATTACGCTTTATTATGTTAAAGACTGCAGTAGAACTGTATCTTAAGTGCATGTCAAATTGACAATGTGTGATCCCTGTAACTTGAGTTATGCTCAAGTTTATAGAATTACTGGGGGTTTTCAAAGGTAAATGCCTGATAATGTTGCCCGCAATATTAGAATTACTTCAAGATCACATTCAGAAAATCAGGTGAAAAGGTATTCTTGGGAAAAGGTCAATCAGATATGGAGGGGAAGACAATGAAGGATATTTTGTGTATTGACGTGATTAATTACTAGTTTCAATATTTTGCATATCTTGTATGGTGGTCAAGTTATTTTATATCCCGATTTCAAAAGGATCGCCGTTTTTTGCTCATGAACTTTTTGTTTGCCAAGTTATGATGGTATTTAACCACCTTTTCTCGGCTGAACACTTGAATATGTGAGTCAGTATATTTCCGTTAGGTTAGCCTTGATATCAAACATACCCGTGACGATCCGGTTTAGAGTGAGTGAGTGAGTTAAAATGTATCGTCACATCGGCAATATTTCAGCCATATCGTGACGAGAACAATTAATTTTATACATAGTAATTAATGATAAATTGTAAAAAACCTGTCAACGAAGGACAGTAAAATAACTAGATTATAACAAATTCGAATTTAAAACTAGTAATTAGATCTAAAACAGTTTAACTATAGATGACAATACAATGCAAAAACAGGCTATATTTTGCTAACAACTGAAGGTAGATCACCATACTAGGGACCATGGGGACTTACAGTACAGTTGCTTCCTGCATGGGCCCTAGCTGGATTTACATCATCCATTCAGCTCTTAGCAATCAAGCCGTATAGTAAAATAACAATTATTCTACGATTAAAAAAGTGGAGTTTTAATTTACTGGGAATGTTTTCGGACTTACGTACCCTCTCAGGAGGACAATAATTTTACAGTACTTTAACCCCCTCGAGGATACAGCCACTACCAATCTGAGTTATTAATTCAAACTTCCAATCATAAAAAAACTTACCTATACAAATCATTTAACAAATCTAATTCTTTTAAAAATGCAATAACTAAATGAGAACTGATATTATTAAAACGATCCTTCATAGTTCGTGATTTAGAATAGCTATCCCTTGTGATGGAATATTCAACACAGTCAAGCAATACATGCTTGACCGTGATTCTCTCATCACAAAGGATGCAGAACGGAGGATATTCACCTTTCAATAGGTATTCATGTAGATATCTGGTGTGGCCAAAACGACACCGTCGCATGATGACCTCTTCAAATCTGGACTGACAACTCAAGTAGGTGTAACCAATATAGACTTTTATTTCATGTAATTTATTAATACCCACTTGGGTGTCCCACTTCTTTGGCATCAGATCACGGATATAAGATCTAACAGCAGCTTTGTAATCAGAGAAGTGGCGTCACAGATTTGTTCAGTGCTGCCTTGGCAGCAAGATCGACCATTGTGTTCCAAGAAATGCCAACGTGGCTGGGTAACCAACAAAAGACGATGTCGCATTGGCCAGTAGCAAGCTCATTATACAATAAAATAATTTCTTATAAAAGTGGATGTTTACAAGAAAGGTTTTTAATAGTCCGAAGACACGAAAGAGAATCGGAAAATATTATGTATTGTTTATATTTACGGTGTTTATTAATATATTTAAGAGCTGTTAATATGGAATTAGCTTCTGCTTTGATCCGGTTTAGAACTGGTCTTCAGAACCCATGCTTGTAGTAAGAGGCGACTAAAGAGACTGGGTGCTCATGCTCGCTGACCTGGCTGACACAAAACATCGTATCCCAATTGCGTAGATCGATGCTGATGATGTTGATCACTAGATTGTCTGGCCCAAACACGCTTATTTATAGACCGCTCAAATAGCTGGAATATTGCTGAGTGCGGCGTTTAACAACAAACCCAACCATATTAAAGTCTGTCTTGTGTTAACTCCGGGATGAGTCAGAGTTAGGAACAAACTACGGAATACCAGTGACTATCGAAACACTACTTACACGTAAGAAGAGGCAGGACAAAGTGGAGATGGACGGAGAGAAGAAGGCAGCTGTGTAGAAACTTCATTGCACTTGTAACAACCGTGCTGACGTTAGTTGAGTCGTGGAGTGATTAACACAACTATCGTTCACGCTATATCGCCAGTTGGAAAACATACCTTGTCACAGGGGCTGATGTCGCTTCACTTCTTATTACCAATGTGCTATGTCAAAAAAACAAACAAACTATGATCATATAGTGATATGATTGCCGGATCACATACCATCAACGATTGTGTCCTCACACTATGAACTGAAAAGTTATTGCAATGATGGTTTAATTTTCATCATTGGCTTGTGTGTTTCCCAAACCTCACGCTATGAACAGTATATTTGAAATGAATTTCTTTGATCTCCAATGGTGCTAGTAGACGCTGAGAGCGGTAACATCTTTGGCAATATTTCATCAAAGGTGTTGTCGTAAAACCCCACACTCTGAATTGATGTTTATAGTGGTTTACATTTGTTCAGCACCGATGTTGTATTCAAACCTCTGACTCCGAGAAGTAATATATGTTATTGGTGGTTCAGTTTTACTCATCGAGTTTTCAAACCATACACTGTGGATGAGCTGTAGGATATGACGCCGGTGTACATGTGGCCATTGTCGAGGTAGTATCCAAATATTAGACGTTGTATCAGCTTCTGGTGAAAGGATTTCAAATGAAATATCATCAAACCCTTGTAATCTCTTGAGACAAAGCCCTGACGTTCCAGCTGTATGATTCAATCCTTATACGAGAAGTGACACCGTGAACTTGTCCTATTCATCAAAACGAACTTTGTCAACATCCCTCATTACCTCAGAATCAGGAAATGTTTATGGTTCTAAAGTAGCTGCGTTGCTGTCGCACACTGGGAAAATAACCATTAACAATTCACTATTTCACATTCTGCCCCACGCTAAAATCGTTCTTGTCGATTTTGCACAGCATGTACCAGACACCATTCGTGAAGAAACAACATTTCGTTTTTTTCCATCCCGAAAACCAGTGCAATACGATATTAGTCAGGAGATTTGATCCGCCATCGAATCAAGAACATAGATTTGGTGACATCCATTCCGGAGTGGAATTACCGTGGTCAAAATAACCAAACAAATTGTTTGTGCATCATGCTTCGGGGAATCAATACATGACCTCTTTAGGCAACCTTTATCATGCTGATCATTAATCATTAAAGTTCTCGTTCTCCTTTCTAGCTTATGTACACGTCACAGAAGCATTGTTCCTCACTTTCCGGACAGGCAGTGTATCTTGTAAGCTTTTCTCCAGCTTTTAATATGTCACTTGCCACACCTGAATTGGTGCACATTTGCACAGTGTTTCCCAGGACATTGGCTAATGATCAGCGTGTGTCATTATATTCATTGCGTCAGTCGTTCCTTGGAGAGCACGTTTGTGTGTAAGGTAGTGATCTGGAAATTACATTATTACTCTTCTAGCTCCGGTCTGTGATTCCGTTATTGACTCAGCTTGTAAATGCTTCCAATGAAAAAAATGGGTTGAAGACGCCTTGGAGCTGATGTCTGGAAGAGGCGACTTCAAGCAGGTTCCGTTAATTGTACCTTGTCACCAGTTCTCTGAAAACAAATTCATTTTGTACGGTTAATGTCACTTTTCTAACGCGGAACTAGTGTCTTATATTCACTTTAACTTCGTTTGGTTACAAACGCTCTGAACAAACCCGACTTCATGAAGCTCTTTTTGGGTGTAACATGTCACCAGCTTATCGAACATACAATGATTTGTAAACGTTTTTCACTTTAAAACTAGTGCATGATGTCTGAATTTACTTCTCGAAGTGAATGGTGAAGCCAAAGACAGAGCTCTACAGAACACAAGACACAAGTTTTCTCGTTCTTTAATACCATATTAAGTTTACACGTTGTCCTGAAATTACGAGGCAGCAACGAACCCAATCATTAATATCTGTCGTTTTCGTTCCTAAAACAAGTCCAATTGTTCAGACTGTTGCATGCGTTATCTGAATTGAAACGGATGCTTCTGACAGGAAGATTAGGAAAAAAACACTTTTACACATTTCAATCTTATCCTTTTATAAAACCAAACTGACAAAACATACCGTGTGAGCTTTCATCGATCTATCACAAGAAAATGCCTTTCTTTCTTTAAAAATTGATGATTCGTTTCATATTACCATGTCATTGTGATCTACCAGGCAATGTTCCAGTGGTAACAGCGGTCTTTGAAATCGACGGCGGCCACGGTGACCTGACAGTAATACTCAGAACAAATGAATTTTGTATAGCTCATTATAAATGATTTTGGGGCCCTCTGACTTCCTGAGTCAGTGAGTAGATTTGCGTCTCAGCCATTTTAGAAAATATATAGTACGTGTCCATAGGCCAGAAAGAGAGAGCGAAAATTTGAAAAAGATCGTGGAAAGGTTGGAAGAAAAAGGGGTTAAATGTACAATGAGGTCTTGGCAAGTATCCAGTGGTTAGGATTGTGAACCAGCAAACAAGTGGATGATGGTCTATACGAACAAACCAGGGGACAATTATGTGAACATATGAACCAGTGGTTGTTGAAAACACACATTGTGCTAAGAAGGACACCTGTGATTCATCAGTGAATCATAGCGCGAAAATATATACAACGGGATGATGTTGTGGACGGACATGTAAACGACTGGATAAAAGTGTGAACACATACAGCAGTAGGTGCTAGTATAAACAAAGGATTACAATCACGGTTTTACAATATACCAAAAACATGATCTTGACCACCTGTGGTCAGAAACTGCGATGGCTGAGTGGGGTAATCATTGATTTTGTGTACTGGCGATTAGGTGCGTCACTCTGAGAGTGTGGGTTCAAATACCAGATGGAACTCAAAAAGCTAAAAAAACACTAGAATCTCTTTTACCAAAAACGTGTAATCCCAAACACATACGTTATAAACAACTTAATTAAATAAATCTAATGTGCAATTTAACATTCAAAACCAACAGCTGACACTGTCGTTTTTAAATGAAAATCCCGGGCATACTTTTTAGGCATGTTCAGCGTACTTAAACAATGCGTGAGTTTGGTTTTGTGGCGCGTTTAGCAAACATGCACCCAGAGAAGCGCCAAGGTGTTACACTTCCTACCAATTGGAAATCGAACCCATATCTCTGACGTGCCAATACATATATGTGCATACAATCGCATGGTAGAACCTTGTACGGATGGTAAATTCCTACCCTCCTCCTGCGAATGACAGAAGAAATACAAAATCTTTATCACATATTGTTCAGAATATGACCTTACCATGACATCCTATTGTGCACAATGGAATCTGATTCGGAGGATTTAATGGTTCATTTCTGGTGTTGATGTTATATATTCACAAACGGCATGTATTATTCATTGTTTAAAAATGCCATAGTACTTGAGTCATATCTATCCTGTGTTAATGTTAAAAAGTTTAGAATAGCACTGGCACGATTCAGATGTTCTTCTCATGATTCGTTGTTTGAAAGAGGCAGATATATGAATGTAAAAAGAGAACATAGATAATGTACACTTTGTAATTTAAACGAAATAGAAATTGAATTACATTTCCTCCTAATATGTCCATTTTATGACTGGTTGCCAACCAAATATATTAAAAGATATTACTATGTCCATTCAAATGTGATAAAATAGTAGTAAAAAACCAGTTCTTCTACAAAATATTTCAATGTTCATTTACTATGCTTTGATTACCCGATCTAAATTCCTCTCAAATGTAACATAACTTAATGTACTATAGGCCTGTGGCCTTTTCAGTGCAAATAAAGATTATTATTATTCACAAACGGCAGAACATATATTCTTCATCTTCAGTCTTTCTTCCCTCATTCCCGTACATCTTAACCCTATCAGTCTGCACATATCCCATTCTCAGCTAAAATAACTAATTTGCTTCTGGGCACCAAACTAAATGCATTCTAATCTTTGCATGGTGGCTTTATACTGTGTATGCTATGTGACATCCATTGTGAGCTTTCAATATGTTTCCCTAACCTTGGAAGGCAAAATCATTTGTATATGATCATTATAGAACTACTCTTCTTTGAAAATTATTCTATTTACGAAGTTAAACGCATGTATGTAGCAATTAAATGCAATTCTTATTTCACAAAAGCATTTGTTTTATTGAAGAATCTGTCACTTTGATGGCAGCGAGATGCTTTGAAGGATAAAGTATTTTTGGATACGTTTCGAAGGGTCTTTATTAAATTATATCCGTTCGTATGGCTTCCAAAGGCGCCTTGTTCCATATAGCAAATCAAATCAACGGTGGTGATGTATTTCAGAGCACTATAAATATAATGTGTTTGCTTGGTGTGTCAAACTGGAAGTATTTAAATGAAATTACACGGCTGACATGTTCACAGAGAATGTAATGATGTTCTGGTGTTCAAAAAGCTGTATTGGTGACGAAGGAAGCCAGCGCCATAAGCCCAGTAAAGAAATATAAAACATTTTATTTCAATTTTGAACAAAGTAAGTGACACAGAAGTTTGCAAATTCCAATGTTTGATCGGATAGCTCAAATTTACAAACCAGAATACACAATTTTGGCAAAGCGGGTATGCACACTGCAAACATGTACACCACAAAACTATCATTCGGTGGGCCCATATCAAGGTTGGAGACATGGGAAATAGGCTTCACGTCGTGTACAGTTGTTTATGGAACGGTATCGCCCATGATAAATGAACGCTAAGCAGTCTTACTGCATTAACAAATTTTATATGTCTAGATTGAAAGGATCCTGTCTAAAGAGGTTAAATGGGGAAAAATATGTTCTGTGTCTGTACAGAGCAAACACAAACATTTGAGCCGGTGTGTGGCTCCCTGGTGACATAGGTAATCAATACAGGAACAGGTCCAATGTCCAATGTCAGAATCAGAGAATCAGGCTCCACTAGCACCTATGTCTAATTGGCAAGTCTCTCGAAACAAAATCCAATTCATCGATCGCAACGCATTAGACAGTGTTTTCTGTCCGCGAGCTCGTCTCAACATGGTCTAAGAACGCATTTCCACTCATAATTTGCTCGTAGTTGCTGAAGCAACTCATGTCCAAGTTGATATAGATAACACTGACCAGATTATTGCTCCATGTGACAGAAAGAACCATGTTTTAGATATACTTAGAAAACACTCTTTGCAGTTTGATCCGCTTCTTCAATTATGTATAAGGTTGTAAACGGTCGACGTGAATGTTCCACAGCGATAAAGCATCATGTCCCTGACGAAGACTCATGTTTAGTGTTATTTCGATGTATCGATTTCCGATACATT